AAGCTTCCATAAATCCAGACCAGGATTAAAGTGGGCTTTGGCAAAGTGTGAAACTTGCTGCCATTTTGAACGTCTTGTTTGAATACGTGTGTTCAAATTTTTCTGCCTTCTGAGTTTAGCTCTCTTTTGTAGAATGGGAGACCTTTTTTATATATAATGAATTGCAGTCTCCACTGAGTATTACCATTGAGAGCAGAGGATTAAAATCATCCTTTGTTAAGGAATACCATTGTAATGATACACATTTAAACATCAAAGCATTAGTTTATGAGCACAGGCATGCTTTAATGTCCTATTACAGTATGTAGACCTGTTTCTTTTGATAATGAAGACATTGTGTCATCGGCATAGGCTGCCACATACAAAACGTATGCTGGCAGGTTATTAAAAAATTCAGCTTCTTGATGAAAGACTATCCTGCAGGCTAAGAGTACAGCGAAAAGACTCTCCATTCTGGTAGAATTATTAGAAATGAGAATATGACTGTAAGCACTAAATTATGTTAATACTTACAAATAGCATCATTTGCATAGCAGTTTAAGACACGATACCCAGATTTTCCTCATTGGTATGTAGTAGGCAACAGATTTAAAAATAATGTAGTTTGTGAGTTTGAACTGTGTAAAAATCTATTCCATCTGAAAATGAGACTAATTTTTAGATTCCTCAATTCAAATATAACATTGGGCAAACAAAAGTGCAGGACAGGATTATTGATGTGTTTTACCTTGTTAACTTAATGCAGCATCTGAGTTATCTGAACAATTATTTTGCTACTGCATAAAAGGTAGAATTCACAAACTACGCCGAATGTCTCTGTAAGGCCTTCATCCTACTGTGCACTGCTGAAGTCTGTCAGCGTATAAAAAATTTCATCCCGAGGCCCAGATTCTAATGATATTCAATATCAAGAGAACTGCTGCCTCCACAAGTGCACATTTGGCAATCGTGAGGCCATTTGTGGAGACGTTCTCCACTGTGAAAAAGGATATCAGGATCTGGCCCCAGTTACGTGCAAAAACATCTGTAACTACTGAGACACCTTAGCAGTTTAATTGTATCTTGCAATGTGAATGACTATTCAGATTTTTAACTGTTTAACATATGCATGTAAGGCACGTGTGCTGTGTGAAGTGCTCTTATGCCATTCTATCGTGATTTTCCAACCTATTTTCTGTACCAATTCAAGCTTCTGTTGGTCCATGCATAGCAAAAAATGTGGTTCTGCTACTACTAGTGAAAAAACAATAGGAGAATGGCACGAGGACCTGTTTGGAATATCTACAGAAAGATATCCATAATACTTATTAATATATGGTATTCTAAAGCATGTTAGGAAGCTGGGTATCTCACTCCTGTTGAAAGTCAGCAGTTCAGTTTTTGGAAAATCTCACCTATTCTTATATGGACTCCTTGCTGGGAGACTGTATAAATTAATGGAAGAGAAAACTATTAACTATTATTGCTGACGCAGTCTCTGACTTAGAGGGATTCTGAGCTGCAAATTGTTGGAGGCTGGGAGAGTATCTGGGGAATGGATATGCTTGCTCTGTTTTCCTACTTTCCTGGGCATCCACTTGTGACCACTGTCAAAAACAAGATTCGGGGCTAAGCAGACCTTATACAGCCACACATTCATGACCTTGAAGAAAGATGCTCAGATGCCCACTCAGAATTCAAGCTGAAGTGGTCTACAAAGTATATATAATGCCTTTTGTTTGTTTTTGAGCAGACATCAGGCTGTCAAAGTCTGCGATGCCTCCTGGTCTGACTTCGAAGCTTGGGACTCAAACTGCCACCTCAAACTCGCACAACGCTTGCAGTCCTCTTCCCTTTTAGAGGAAGGATAACATTGCCTTCCTGCTAGTGTTGCCTTTTTTTTCCTCTTAAGTCCCTCTTTTATGTAAAATAATACAGGAGTATGCAAAGATCCTGCCCTCTTGTACAACTACAGAACTCTAAATAGTATCTAAATCACTAGATTAAATTAATAGTCAAATTAATTTAGAATTAACTTTTATTACACTGTGACTCTTAATTAACCGCCAGGACCAGCAACATGATGTGAGTTTACCTATCAGCAATCCTAAAGATAACAAAGGTCAGACTGAAGACGAAAAAGGGGATAAATGTGGGGACAAAGAAGAAGAGAGCTGAAAATACAGGAATAGAACAAGACACAGGAAACCAAGCAACAAATATTCTCGCAATAAGCCATTATAATTGGCCATAGCTACACAACCATTTCAAAACTCTCCATTAGATATCTGTCGTAGAAGAAAAAAGCTATTTAATGTGCTTGGGCAGCCTACTGTTTTAAATGCTAGAGTGTTTGAATCTTACTGCCTCCAGTTGTGTCATAGTGTTCTGTCACAGTTTCTTTTCCTTGTAGACTATATCTTGGTTAATTCACTAAAATGTGTAAAAGGAGTCAAAATATTTTCAAAAGGTGAAAAATCCAGAAAATCCAACTTTCGGTCTCGGTTGCATAAAGCAATATTCAGACACTGGTTGCTGGATTTTGCATTGATTGCTATTGGGAAATTACAGTTTCAAAGGCCAAGATAAAATGCTGCAAAATGCTGGCTGTTCCTTTAAATTTTTTTCGTCAACTTTCGAAAGTCCCGTAATAAGTAATTAGATAAACTTTGTGATTATCTGAAAATCGGGAATAGTGGTGAGATTTTTAACTGGTTGAGTTGCATTCACTATAAGAAACCTGAAGCTTACATACCACATCTTGTTTCTTTACTGAAGTAAGGAATTCAGAGTAAAGAGCATAGGTTTATAAACAGGGAAGAAAAACCCCAAACGTAATACTGTCAAAGACATAATTTTAGCATTTTGGCATTGCTAGCACACTGTCATTTCTGACTGTCTTTTAACACAGTA